GTTTTACCTGGGGCCACCTTGCCTGAGCTGTAAAGCAATCTGAGATGGCTGTTATCTGTGATGGGCTTGGAGATTCCCAGGTGAATCCCAAGCAAGGTGGTTGCAAAAAGGCCCACTCTAAGACACATTACAATTAAAATGCCAAAGGTTAAAGGTAAAAAGAGAATATTGAAAACAGCAAGAGAAAAGAATTTGACTACAGAGGAATTACCATGGACTGTCAGCTGATTTCTCAAAGGAAATTTAGCAGACTAGAAGGGATTGGCAACAAATATTCCAAGTCATGAAAGGCAAGGACCTATAGCCAAGATTGCTTGACCCAGCAAAGCTATCATTTAGAACTGAAGGACAGACAAAGAGCTTCCCAAACAAGAAAAAGACTAAAGGAGTTCATCATCACCAAACCATTACTATATGAAATGTTAAAGGGGCTTGTTTAATAAAAAGAAGAAAATCAAAGCTATGAACAATAAAATGCAAAAAATACAAATCTATCAACAACTGAATCTAAAAAACTAAGCAAACCAGATGAACAGAGACAGAATCATGGATACAGAGAGGGTCTGATGGTTGCCAGATGGGAAGGGCATGTGGAGGAATGGGTGAAGAGGTAAGGGGATTAAGAAGTACAAATCGGTAGTTACAGAATAGCCATGGGGATGTAAAGTCCAGCATAGGAAATGGAGTAGACAAAGAACTTACATGTATGACCCATGGACATGAACAATGGTGCGGGGATTGCCTGAGGGAGTAGGGGGTGCTGGGTGAAGAGAGACAAAGGGGAAGAAATCAGGGCAACTGTAACATAATCAATAAAATATAATTTTTAACAAGAGAGTTGGAACCCATTATTAAGTCTGATAACAGTAAAAACATTATGTAACTGCAGCTGTTTAAAGGTTTACAACAAGATACTCATCTTTTGCAAGAGTTTACTTTAATCTTTGACATAAGTCTATAATACCTATATTATTTATAAGATGGGGAATAAAGGAATTGTCAAGTTCCGGTACTGGTACTACTCTATCTAACCTTGAAATGGAGTGCCAAAACACGTGTTACATGCAGCATGGCAGAAGAATATAGACATAGTAGTAAGAAAAAGACATCACTGATTTATACTACTACTATTTTTTAAAAATCTAGATATTGTGAAATCAGTCACTACCATGTTACAAAGAGTACCCCACCATAAAACCAAAAGTGTACATAGCACTGAAGAGACAAACAATGCATTATTATTCCCCCAGACAATACATCGATGTGGGAGGGAAACATCGATTGTCTGCCTCTTGTACATGCCCCAACCAGGGACCAAATTGGCAACGCAGGCATGTGCCTTGACTAAGAATGGACCCGGCAACCCTTCACTTTGTAGGATGATGCCCAACCAACTGAGCCACATTAATCAGGGCCCATGTTAAACTTTTAAACTTGTGTGATCTTGGCCTAGTGTCAAAAGAGTAAAGAGAAAAACTGAAAGTATAATTTATAGTAAAATATAAACTATTTTATATTCCCCAAATGGATTTTCTCAAAGACAGATTTTACTGAATATAAACCCAAAATGTTGCAAAAATATGTCAGCTTTTTTACTTAAGGAAACTGCTTCTAAAGTTGGCAAAATATCTCATTTTCTCTACTCATAAAGTTATTAGCCTTGATGAAAATAACATGAGTATTCAGTGTTATTGTTTAACACTCTTAATATTGAAGACCTCCAAGTCATTTGATATGCCTGGCAAGGACCAAATTCATTGTTTTGGGGGATATTTGCAACCAGAGGAATTTAAAATATAATCATGGAGAGAAGCAAAAAAAGACCAGCCTCCTCCTACCCTACCCCGACCACACACAAACACACATCCAAACTCAGAACTCTTAATTCTCCTTTAAAATTTCACTTATTTATCTTCTACAACCATTCACCCCATTTTATATACCCTTTGCATTTTCCTAAATATAGGTAAAACTCAAAGTAGTGATTCTGATGCCAAAAGTGTTTTAATTCTATTGTAAATCTTAAAGTACCAAAATGAGAATTTAAAAAAAATTTTTAAGCAAGTAACTGATAGAAGGTTTAAAAATACTATTCTATCCTTTATAAACATGAAAGTTTTATTTTGAAAATTCTACAATATATAACTATAGAAAATGGCACAATAGTATAATGTAGTATTCCATTGTTCAAACCACTATTGTATTCCATTGCTCAAACCACTAAAACTGGGGTGATCCAAAAATGTAATTCCAATTCTAGTCTTTCTGATCTATTAACTTTCAACAAATAAAGCAAAATACTTCAATTAAAAATTTTTACCTAAGTAAAGTTGATCTTTAGAAATAATGTTTTCTAAGCTGCTTTTGAAAACAGATAAGTAGGCAGCTCTACAATTCATATAAAATATCTCCTCTTCAGTTAGTGGAAATTTCTTTGTTCGAGGACTCTCTGAAAGCGTTGAGTTCTGACTGGAGAAAGCAGCATCACTTCCTGGACTGATGGCCATTCTATTAGAAAATAATTTTAAAAATTGCTTTAGTCAATGTTAATCCCCTAAAATGCAAATGTTACCTTGCCTTTCAAATGGGAGGGGGGAGAAATCAAGACATTAACATTTTTATTTGTGGGGGAAAAAGATGAACATTATAATATGCATAAGGTTGTAATATATGTTAAACTAGAAGCCTTTTGGCCATTGCTATATATATGTATATGTACATATATATACACATACACAACTTTTTAAAGTTTTTTCTTTATTAATATACAGGGTCAGGCAGAAGTAAGGCCTGCTTGAGTGTGGTTAGTAGAGTAATAATATGAGTATAATAATTCTAATTTTAATTTGAACATTTCACCTAAAATGTCATATGGTGTGCTTGAGTGTGATATTATGTTACAGAATTACATGCTCATGATTTTGTAATTAAAAAGGGGCATTATTTGTGTTGGATCCTGTATATGTATATACCAAAAGAACAAAGCCAAAACAAAGCGGTAACATAAATATAAAAGAAGAATCACAGGGCAAAACAAAACAAAACAAAACACTCATACACATCTATTCTCTCAAAATAAGATGACAGTTGAGACTCTTCATAGGGCTGTCATGAGGATTAAATAATATGTGTAAAGCATACAGAACAGTGCTTGGCACAGATTAAATGCTAAATAAACTGTAGATAGAGTGAAACTTCCCCAGTAATAAGAATGTGGATGTAATGTGACTGACAGTTGGCATCTATCTCCACAGCAGGACCAAGCAGGTCATTTCACTAACATCTCGATAATACAGCCCACATTTTAAATGACTGAATTTTAAAAATCCCATTTATAGCGTGATAGGTTTTACTGTATTCCACTACTAATAATAATGTTTTGGGTTTATATAGCACCTCTGCTCATAAGAGCTTAAAGAACTGTCATACATCATGATTTATCCCTACTACAATGGTCAGGTATTTTTGGTCCATTTTACAGATAAGGAAATTGAGGGACACAATGTCGTTAATTTAATTGTAAGTAGAAAAGGCAGTAAAATTCAGTAAGTTTCTTCTTTATTAATGTGAATGGAGGCTTCTCATACAATACTTACTATGAGACACTAAATTGTGCCAGTGGTCTAACAGCTTCCAAGATTATTTTACCCAGCTTTGACTTTTAAAAATACATTCCAGCCTAATAAATTGAATATTTCAAGTTCAACAATAAGACGACACAGATAGGGTCCCCTTCAGGACTCATTGGATTCTTACTCAAGAGACCTAAATCACTTGCACCTTCTTGAATTATATAGGTCTTTTACACTTGGGAAAGAAAGATAATAATCGCTTATCATGGATGAAGTACCCTATTTATAATACACAGCCCGCCTGCCTGACACTTTCATATTACAGCAGATTTAGAAGGACCCCATAGGGATGTGTGGTGTCACAGTCTGGTTACTGCAAATTGGTATCACTATAATTAAGCATCACTGTTTTAAACACATATGCGTGCACACATCTACTCAAAAATGTGAAAGAAAACCGTTACAATAAAGAATAGAGAATGTTCATTTTGCAGCAAGCAATTTTAACATGTAAGTTTTTTTTAAGAATGGTCCTCAAATACTCTTTCCAAATAAGGTGACTCCCTCACGTGGAAATCCCACGGCAGAAATGTTCCAGAATTCTATTCTTTTCCTTTCTGTGAGGAAAGACTAAACTAGGCTTAAATAAATATATAATTGTACCCCCTCAGGCTTGGAAACCTCCTTCATTTAAAACTCCAGCCCGAGACTCAGGCAGGGGCCTAGAGAGTACACTGCAGCAAACGGCTCCATAAATAACCAGCCACACAATAGCAAGAAAAATAAACTAACAAGCGCCTAGGGCTTTTTAAAGGGCCAAGTGAAACAGAGAGCCAGCCACACCGCCCTACACAGTGAAATATGTTCACAGCTGATCTCAGGCAACATCTCTCTCTCTCCTTCTGTATGCCTCTGGGCATAAAACTGCATTTGTAAGTACATTTCAGGTACCTACATGGACCGAGTGTTAGTATGATAGAGAAGTAGCAGGTGGAAGAAAAACCCAACAGTAAGGGACGGAAAGCGCAAAGACAGACAGTGAATTGATTGCTACCTAATTTACAGACGAGGAAGCTCAGCCAATTCTCTGCGAGGATTCCACAATCCGCTCATCGAAACCGGACGGACCTCTGCCTTTAATCACCATAGCAACTGCACATCTCCGCCACCGGAAATAAGATACAGAGCACCTCCCCAAACAGTCCGGCTAGAAATCTAGGAATCGTTAACCCACAGTGATCAGAGACGGTTCTGTTGCTCCTCCATCCGGAGCTGTTTTGGCCAGAAGCATGAGAAAGGGTCCTGTGCCGCACTTCCAGGGACTGTGTGAGGTCTTAGATGGACACTCCCTTCCTCCTTTCCCCGCTTGCATTGGGATCCGTTGTCGCGAAGGTGGTGTTTCCGGCGGGCTACGTTGAGTGTGACACAACGGCGGGCGACCGCTCGCCCGCGCTTTTCAGGCTTCTGCGTTTTCTTCTGGAGGTTCTGTGTTTTCGAAAGAGGTTGCTTGGTTAGTTCTATCCAGCGGCGGCGATCCTTCTCTGAATGTGAAAATGCCGTAGGTATCTCCTCCCCAGGTATTGCTGTTTGTCGGGCGCCTCTGTGGGCCAGAAAAGTAAATATTATGTGGCCCAATAATCTTTTTTGTTCTAATTTTTATAGTATAAACTTGACTCCTGCGTCGACATTTCATAGTGCTTGGTGCCTTCAGCCCACCTGTGCTCATATTCCAGCCGTAGTTTTCCGGGAGACTCGATCCACTTTAATTCCGATTCTCCAAGGCTTTTGACTGATGTATAGGCTATGGCTGTATTTAGTGATGTATTTAGTGCTTGAAATAATTTTAAGTATGGTGAACATACCAAGAATGGGATACAATAGATTGAAAGGCGCCATATAATTTGATAACGCCCAATAGTGTGGTGAGTTCGTATAAATTTGTGGGACAACTCAAGAACTAGGTCTCAAAAGACCTGGATTACAGCTCAAAAACGAGAAAGCGTAGCCAGTTTGTGGCGTGCTTCCTTATTGCTGCTCTGTAGTAACTTTTTAAAGTTCACTAAAGAAGTTTTTCTTTGGGGTGGAGGGACTAATATCTAACATGTGAAATTCTCCGGCTGCCCCTTGCCCCCAGGTTGACTCAGGTGTCCCTTGTGCATTTCTCGAGTAATTTATTCCTCCGTTATTTTTCGGTTTGAGTCAAATGGGAACTAACACAGCGGGGATGAATTTGTATCACATAAAAATTGACATGAAAATGGAAAAATGTAAAGAAATAACCGGCATTTATTGAATCTTTATGATTTGGTACAGGGTTTAGTTTACTTATATTTTCTCATTGAGTCCCAACAGAGGACTTGAGGAGGTAGGAGCTGCTGTTATCTCTAATTTCTGGGTAAGGAAACTTAGCACTTAATATGGTGTCTGATACATAAGCATCAATAAATGTGTCTCACTTAGATCCTTGAAAGTTATGGAGTTTTGAAGAGGTTTTCCTTTCCCCAGAATTAAGACTTGTCTCACTAATGCTGCATTATTTTTTTAAAAATCCCGTTAGCACTTTTGTGAAACTGCAAAGATAATGTAGCAAAATCCCTGCTAAGTAGGAATACAACGGAAACTGGTGTGTATTTGTTTAATATATAAGTGATGATACTTCCCGAACTATGATTCTTTCCTGTTATAGCTAATGGGAAACCAGAAAACTATTAAAAATGGAACTTTTGGACAACTTTTCCTAGTATATTAACACGTACATGTTATATTAGAAGAATCTGTGATAAATGTATCCTGACAGTAAATATATGATCTTAAAGTTGAGGTTGACATTACAGCACATATATCTGATGTAGAATTTATATTTAAAATATATATATATATAAAAACTCTTACAACTCAACAGTAAAAAAACAAAAACCTTACTAAAATAATGGCTAAAGACTTAAACCAATGCCTAATAAAAAGTTATATGAATGGCAAATAAATACCTTAGACATCAGGGATATTAAAATTAAAACTATGTTGAAATACTGTTTAACACCCAATAAAGGACTGCATATATCTTTTACATTTTAAGAATACTAGGAAAATATTAATTTTATTGAATAGATTTGTTTTGCACAGAGGTGTAGGTTAGTGCTTATAAAACTAGTTTATGTATGATAGGCTTGGGCAAATAATAAGTGTATTGAAGATCATGGGAGCTAGGTTTTCAGTGTGAGAGAAATTTAAAATATTTTGGCTTGGTATTGGAAAAATCAATATGAAATCATGGATTTTTAAAATGTACATGTGAAGATACAAGTAAATACAATGTGTATGTGTTCTGTTTTAGCTCTGTCCATTAGCTGTAAGCAATGACGTAAGTAGTTATGACTACATCTAGAGCTCAGATCTTGATTTCTAAATGTCATTGTCCACAAAAAAAAAAAAAAAAGACAAAACAAACAAAAAAAAAGCCAGGTCTTACTGAAGCAAAAGCTAATTCTAGGACTGGAACAGAGAACATTTTTTTATGCTGGTAAGTAAGGAAGTGGTTATACAATTACAGTTCCATTAGGGGCAGTGTGAAAGGGGAAAGATCCCATTGCCAAATCTGGGACAATGAAATATCAAGATAAGTGATTGAAATTGATTGTAATCCATTGGATAAAATAAAATTCCATCATTTCCTAGTGATACATAAAGAGAAAGAAAAGCTTTTGGAATACAATGCTAATAAATATTTAAAAAATGATGGAAAATCATCAGTGGCTCTTTAAAAGTATTGGAAGAGCCCTGACCGGGTAGCATAGTTGTTTAGAGTGTCGTCTTGATATGCCAGGGTTGCAGGTTTGATCCCCAGCCAGGACACATACAAGAAGCAACCAATGACTGTACAGATAAGTGGCGTAGCAGATTGATGTTTCTCACTCTCTCCCTTCTTCTTCCCCTCCCTCCTTCTCTCTCCCTCTTTCTTTCTATCTCAATTCAATAATAAAAACTTTAAAAAAATATTTAAAAGTATTAGGAGAAAGCTTGATATGAAACAAGATATTTATATATAAGGTTTCTTATTTATTGCATTGGAGAAAACTGGCAGATAACTTGTTAATCAATGACCAAAACATGCCACGGTGACAAACCAGTATCATGTGCCTCAAGTTAACATGTTCTCAAAAGAATGCATTGACATTTTTGTGACATTTATGCCCCAAAATACTTAACTTCATGGGAAAATATCCAATATACCAAAATTGACAGATATTCTATAAAAATCGTTGGCCTAAACTCTTGAAAAGATGTTATAGTCAAGAAAAAGAAAGTTGATGAATTGTTCTAGACTAAGGGGGACGGAAGATACGGGACAATGAAATGCAGTGAGTGATCCAGGATTGGATCTTAGACTGGGTAGAAAATTGGCTACCAAAGAAATTATTAGAATGAGTGATAAAATTTAAATGTGAACTGTTAGTAATAATATGTATCAATGATTAATTTCCTGAACTTGATTAATATACAAAAAATCAGTTGCATTTCTATACATTGATAATAAACTACCAGAAAGAGGAGTTAAGAGAACAGTCCCATTTACAATTGCATCAAAATGAATGAAATACCTAGGAATTAATGTAACCAAGGAGGTGAAAAGACCAGAAAACTATAAGACATTGATGAAAGACATTGAAGAACACTCAAATAAATAGGAAGATAGTCCATGCTCATGGATTGGAAAAATTAATATTGTTTAAATACACTACTCAAAGCAATCTATATATTTGATGCAAACATTATCAAAATTCCCATGGCATTTTTCAAAAAATAGAACAAATCTTAAAATTTTTATGGAACCACAAAAGACCCCAAATAGCCAAATCAGCCTTGAGAAAAAGAACAAAGCTGGAGTCACCATGCAGATTTCAAACTGCATCACAAAGCTATAGTAATCAAAATAGAATAGAGTCCAAAAACAAAACCACACATGTGTGGTCAATTAATTTACAACAAAGAAGCCAAGAATATACGGGGGGGAAAGGACAGTCACTTCAATAAATGGTGCTGAAATAACTGGACCCCTATATTACACCATAAACAAAAATTATCTGAAAATGTATTAAGAACCTAAATGTAAGACCTGAAGCCATAAAACCCTAGAAGTAAGCTCCTTGACATCAGTCTCAGTGGTGATATTTTGGATTTGACACCAAAAGCAAAGGTAAGGAAGTGGGACAACATCAAATTAAACAGCTTATGCACAGCAAAGGAAATCAACAAAATAAGGTAACCTATGAAATGGGAGAAAATACTTGCAAATCATGTATCTTATAAAGGGTTAGTAACCAAAATATATAAAGAACTCATATAGCTCAACAGCAAAAAAAAATTTTTTTAACTTAAAATTTTTAAATTTTAGGGGCAGAGGATCTAAATAGACATTTTTCCAAAGAGCACGTACAGATGGCCAGCAAGTACATGGAAACACGCTCAACATCACTAATCATCAGGGAAATGCAAATTGAAACTACAAGGTATCACCTCACATTTGTTAGAATGACCCTCATCAAAAAGACTAGAGATAACAAGTGCTGGTTAGGACCTGGTGAAGAGGGAACCATTGTGCATTGTTGGTAGGGAGATAAATTGGTACAGCCACTATGAAGAACAGTATGGGCTTTCCTCTAAAAATTATAAATAGAACTACCATATGATTTAGCAATTTCACTTCTCTGTATCCAAAGGAAACAAAAATACTAACGTGAAGATATCTTCACTGCCCCCCTGACCACATACATTGCAGCATTATATATGATAGCCAAGACATAGAAACAACCTAAGTATTCACCAACAGATGATTGGATAAAGAAGTGTGGTGTACATATACAATGGAAGACTATTCAGCCATTAAAAAGAAGGAAATTCTGCCATTTGCTACAATATTGATGGACCTTGAGGGCATTATGCTAAGTGAAATCAATCAGACAGAAGAAGACAAATACTATATGATCTCACTTATATGTGGAATCTTTAAAAAAAACAACACAAACTTACAGAAACAGTACAGATTGGTAGCTGCCAGAGGTGGTGGTCAAGGGTGAAGGGTTAGGGTGGATGAAGTCAGTGAAGGTGGTCAAAAGGTGCACCACCTTTAAAAGGTGTGCCAGTTATAAAATAAGTAAGTCCTGGGGATGTAATGTACAGCCTATAATAAATATTACTGTTTTGTATATTTAAAAGATGCTGAGTGTGTATATCTTAAAAGCTTCGTAGCTGTATGGTGATGTATCTTAAGTAGACTTACGATGATTAATGCACAATATATACATACATCAAATTATTATGTTATATACCTGAAATGAATGTCCTATGTCAATTATATCTAAAAAATCTTGATTTTGATCATTATGATTATATGAGAGAGTGTCATTCTTAGAAATATTTATGGGTAAAGGTATGTGATGTCTCTATCTTATTCTCAGAAAAAGATTGTTCATTATACATACATATATTTGTATATAGAAAGAATGATAAAACGGGTCAAAATGTAAACAAGTGGCAGGTCTGAGTAAAAGATAACAAGTCTTTTTCCTAGAACTTTTTTTAGTTTAAAGTTATATAAAAATTAACTTACAAAAAACTCATCAAATTGTTTTTAAAATTAAAAGTACTAATGATGGAGTAAATAGTAAATTAGACAGAATGGAATTAAGAATTAGACAACTGACAAATAGATCTGAAGAAATTGCCAAAAATGAAGCATAGTGACCAATGATCAAATGTAGGAGTTTCGAGACTTAGACAATTAATGAGAATATCTAGAATAGAGGAAGTCTCAAAAAGGTAGGATGAAGGCAAGTCAGCATTTGAAGAGATTATGACAGATTTTTCCAGAACTGACAAGACACAAATCCACTATTTGAGGATAGTTTAATAGTCTAAAAAGAGACTATTTTAGAGATTAAGACCATGTTGGTATGACATCCTTTGGGAACCTACATTTAAACAACCTTAACAAAAATGAGAGGATCATTAAAATTAAAGGAAGTAAATATATTTTGGGATTTGAGGCAGGTTTTAAATTAAAAATAAATATAATAAATTACTAATTTATATAACAGCTTTGTGCCAGTCACTGTGTCAGGCCTTAGGATTCCAAGGCCAACAGATACTGTACCTCTCTAGGCATTTTAATTTCAGTGGGAGAAATAGTTCAACAGGCATTTTTAGAACTCATAACCTACCAGTTAACCGACAAGGTGCTGATGATATAAGTATCTTAGTCTAGGGAGGTAAGACAAACTAAGTAAACTATTTCAACATGACATGTTTCGTGAAGGAGACATGTACAAGTGCTATGGTTTAGAGCAGAAAGATCCTTAGTGCAAACTGGACATTTTCAGGGGAAAACTTCTTAGAAATGATTGTGCTGGAATCTCAAGGGTAGGGGAGCATCAATGTTAGTTGATTCTTATTAATTTTTATGTTGCAAAATATAATGCATACAAGAAAGTATATAAAATCCCTCGGCCATATTTAATTCTGACAAACCTCTTTGGCCCCTTTCAATAGTAAGGATTTGTGCTTTTTATATGTATGTTATGTGTGATGATGCACACATGTTATGTTTCTTCCAGAAGGTAATAGTAATGAATATTATTGTTCATTTTTTAGGCTACCCATTTAGGAGTGAAATAATTTTATGGCATTTTTTACTTTATTCAACCCAAGAACATCTTTTTAAAAAATAAATGTTTATTGATTTAAGAGAGAGAATAAGGGAATGAGAGAGAGAAACATCGATTGGTTGCTTCCCATACAAACATTCCACCTGCAACCTAGATATGTGCTCTGACCAAAAATGTGACCCACAAACTTTTGGAGTGTATGAGACGATGCACCAACCAACTGAGCCACACTGGCCAGGGCAACCTAAGAACATCTACATCTTCATCTGTTTATCTTCTGGGGTCATTATTCCCAAATATGTCTCTTTTGCTTCTGTAAGAATACTTTAGTAATTCTTTATTATTTTTTTAATAAAGAAGGTTTTGACATTATAAACATGTTATCCAATAACTGGTTAGGATATTGATCCTTCTAACACACAGAATGGAGAAAAAGTTATTTTAGATCTCTCAACTTACACCTAAGGAGTCACATGGGATGTGAATTTGGCCATTGCCTTTCATCAAAGTGTCTCATCTAAGTATCTCATAAACGTACTTAATAATCCTAAATACTCCTGTGAAGTTGTAGCTGGCAATATTATCATCTCCACTAGGGAGAAAATTTGGCATAAGTAGCACCAAGTCTCTCTGAGTCTTACCTGCTTCACTAAGTTTATCTTCCTACCTGCTCCCAACACACACAATGTTACCAGAATGATAAGTAATCCAATGTTTTAAAAATCCTGTAAGAGAGTCTCAAATTGTGTAATTTCATGAGTTTTTGAGGTGTCATTCCTACTTTTTAATTAGGAATCATTTTAGAGTAATTTCTTTAATTTTTTGTGTTAAAATAATACGTAACAAAAGTTACTATTTAAACCATTTTAAGTGTACAGTTCTTTGGCATTAAGTACATTCACATTGTACAGTCAGCATCATTCATCTCCAAAACTTTGTGATCTTGGAAAACTGAAGCTTTGTGCCCATGAAACAGTAACTCCCTAGTCACCCCTGGCAGCCACCATTCTATTTTCTGTCATGAATTTGACTACTTTGAGTACCTCATTTGAGTGAAATCATATAGTTTTTGTCCTTTTGTGATTGGCTTGTTTTACTTAGCATAATGTTTTCAAGGTTCATCCATGTTGTAGCACATATCAGAATTTTCTAAGGTTGAGTAATACTCCTGTGTATGCATATGTATGTGCCTGTGTGTATATACAGTTTTCTTTATTCATTCATCTGTTGATGGACATTTGCATTACTTTTACCTTTTGGCTATTGTGAATAATACTGCTGTGAACATGATTTAATTTTTTGAGGAACTGCCAAACTGTTTTCCCTAGCATCTATACTGTTGTATAGTCCCACCAGCAGGGCATAAAAGTTCCAGTTTCTCCACATCCTGGCCAATACTTAATTTCTGGTTTTGGGGTTTTGTGTTTTGTTTTGTTTTGTTTTGTTTTGTTTTGGTAGTAGCCATTCTAATGGTTTTAAAGTGGTATCTCACTGTGGATCTGATTTGCATTTCCTTAATATTAGTGCTGCTGTTTATATTACTGACGTTGGGCATCTTTTCGTATGTTCATCAGCCTGTTGTATGTTTTTGGAGAGATGCTTGCTTGGGTTTTTGCCTGTTTTTGAGTGCCCAGTTTTTTACAATTAAGTTAGTAACCACAAGAGCTGCTTAGAACTTCACAGAACTACCAGAGATATATAACTTTTAATTGCTAAGACTGGTAGCAAATGAATGAATACTTTAGGAAAATATCGAGTATATCTAATCAAGTTTTGCCTGTTCTTCCTCTATATGTATGTATCATCCATCTCTTCTCTCTGTTCCTGTTAATATTATCCTAACCTGCTTGACATCTCATGCTTGTATTATAGTTGTTTGTGGGTAAAATAATTTTTTAATGGTAAAACATATAGTAAGTGCTTAATTTAATCATTGATATCTCGACAATGGGCCCAGTTCTAACAGAATGTTAAGAATAGATGGTCATAAGTTCCTCTAGTAGTTTTGCTCTTCTTTACCTTTTCCCCTCAGTTTGACAAAGATTTATTATACACACAACCTGAGATGTTAGTTTCTCAAGCTGTGTGACAGTGGTCAAGTCACACCAACTTCTCCCTGTTGGGTAAACTAAGTGATTTCTTTGATTTCTCCTAATCTTGTCTATTAAATTTTTTTCTTGTAAATATTTTCAGTTTTTGATTATCAGATGCCTGAATTATCAGAAAACTACATTTCCCACAATAAATCAAGTTTTTAGATTCTCACTAAACTGTTAAACTGGAAGATAACAATCTAACTCTGTTCACTTTGTTTGCTTTTACATGTTTCCGTGGACTTTTTAGATCACTGTAGCACCTGAACTGGAAATCTTTAAATCCAAACATTTAGTTTCTTTTTCAAGGAATTAACCATCGATAATAAAACAAAAATATTTTGGACTTTAGTGACAACGTGGCGTTTGTTTCCTTCTGAAAAGTAGTTTTGCATTTTAACAGCATTTGACAACAAAGGATAATAAAATGCCATACTGAACATTTTTAATTTTTTATTTCTGCTTTTGAAGTTTTATTAAATGCCAAAACATCTCACATACCTGAATAGGGTGATATATATTCCAAAGCTAAATATAAATACCTTTTTTGGATTATCTGCCATTTTTACTTATTTTTACCTCTCTTACTGCTTCATTGGGAATTCATGTTCAGTTGATTTCAAATAGACTTCTAAAAGATATAACTAATTCTTTAAACCAATTTAATTAATCTCAAGAAATAATGTTATATGATAGGCTAGTGTAGATGTAATAGCAAATTTAAGTGAACCCTTTTTCAATAACATTTTTGTATTTAATATTTACTGTTCAGTAAATTGTCTATCCCTTTTACTTTTCTTGCTCCTGTCACTTGTTGGAAAGTCAGTAGTCAGTTATTTATGAATAGTCATTTCTAGGATGTTAAGTTTTTTGTTTTCTATGCTGTAACCGTTATTTATACTACAGCCTTTTTTTTTAACCTAATGCTCAAATTCTTGAAAATTTTAAATAAAAATTTCTCTCACAGATCAAGAAAGTACTTTTAACTAAGTGTTTGTCATTGGGAAAACTTGTTTTAATTTATATTGACCTTTTTCTCCTTTGAGCATTTAATCCGCATTCAATAAAATGTTGATGACTGCTCTTTAGAAGACAGCTGTATGAAATAAAGTATTATAAATATTCAGCTTTCCTTTCTAAGCATTGTCACCAACAGCTGGGCATCCAGTTTAGCAGAACAGATTTTGCACACAGAGAGCCTGGCATGTTCCTGAATCGGTTTAGTGAAGGAGACAAAAAATAGTTTCATATGGATTGGGGACTTATAAAGACATAGAGCATCTGTTCCTCAGTCAAGTCATAGTCTGGTAGCACTGAATCATGTTTAAAGCTACAAAAATGTGCAAAACTTTTTTCACCTTGCTCATACTTTTAAGTTCATTATTTGTACAAATAATATTCCTTCAATATCTCCATTGAAGGTATGTAAATTACTTTGCTCTTAGATATATTTTTATTAGTGGTATTTTAAAGCACATAAAGAGTAACTTTTACTAAGATTATTTTATAATATGACTTTAACAATTAAATTGTATGATAATGCATATATATGAAACCACATATGCATAAAAAGAACCATTTAGATGTTTAATTATGATTCCATCTTGAAATATGCTATTAAAAACAGTCTCACTGTAAAAATTGCTTTCTTATTGCATTCTACTTCATGGAAGTAACTTAGAATCTCTATATGTATTACTCTTAAATAGTTGGCTGCTTAAAGCATACTAAATCTAAGGTTTCTTCAAATATTTTGTTTGCAGTGTTAAAAGATCACTGAAATTGGATGATCCATTGGAAGCAGATGTAAGTAGTTACTTACAGGTTTGTAATTGCATGTGAATATTGTGTTCTTAATTTTTAAACAGCTAATTTACCTTATTAAATATAAAAATAATGGAAAAACATTGTGACATAATTGTGATTGGTACATCATTTTCTGCATATAATATATTCTTATAAATCTAATGTATGGAAATTCCTGCCAGCTGGAGGTTTTCATTTATGAGGCAAATTATTTAGAAACCTTATGAAATAATTTAGTACAAATTAATTCACTGTATGTAGAAAAATATTCTGCTACTTAAATGCACAAGAAACAATATGGAACAATGACAATACTTTAATGTACATTTTATAACCTTCTATAATATCTGAAATAAAAACATTAAAAGCATTTTTATATCAAAAATGTAATTACCTCCTTCAGCTATGCTGGCATGCTTAAACAATAAAATACACTGTAATAAATTTCACTATGGTTGTCACAATAGAAATAAAATTGTACAGTTGCTATTACTTTTTGTAAATCTGGTCATAGCACATTCCCAGTGCCAGCATATCATGACATATGTTAGCTTATTATCTTTTCTTACCATTATGGAACTAGATACAAACACTAATACTGAGATACTTAGGGCCTCAGTAATCTTAAGTGCAAGTAAATTGGTGAGAAAGTAAATTACAACAAATAGCTAGTCAATAAATAGGCTTCTATAAAATCCCATATGAGAGTGCCATTTCAAGAAATGGTTTTATATGGAATTCTTTTTTGGAAGACTCACTACTATTTAACCGTTTACTATGTTAAAAAGTTCCTAGGTGCTTTTTAAAAAAATTTAAACAAAGGTGGAAAAATACTGCAATGCCGCTAAAAAAAATCATTAGCAGTGTAATTAGCAATTTAGAGTACCATTATCCAACTTGATCTGTACAGAATGCAGCTGTGACTGTAATTCTGCATCTGTTTCTTTGGTCAGAATGGTATTTTGGTAGATGAGTAGTCCACCTTGAAATGAAATACTGTTCTTTCCTGCCCCAAAACTGTTCTTTGGGAGATGGTAACGTTATTTGAATGGAAAAAAGTGGTCATTTAGGAATTTATTCTCTTTGTGAAGTACAGTTGTCATCATGGCAGGCTTTCTCTTCTTTTTTCAAATTAGGATGTATCAAGGTAGCCAGTGCTACAGCTAATATCCTGTATTAGAAAATAACATTGTTATGTTTGGCCCAATTCTGTACCTTTAAACCAATTGACTTAGTTTGGTACCACATGGCCACTGCCTGCTGTACACCAGCTCTCAGCATCTTAGCCTGAGCCTTCAACATTTCTCTTCTCTTTTTTACCTATTTCTGATATTTTCAGCTTTTGAACTTTACCTAAACCATTTGGTAGCAGCTCTATATTCACATCTTAGATCTGATAGCTTTTGTGCTGGTCCTAAGTCTAGGTTTCCATGCACTCCAAAAAAAACCTTACCCCTAAGCAACCAGACCCCCAGGAATCTACCCATATGCCAGTGATCCCATTGAGGATGCCTTAACCCAGGCAAAGGAAAATCAGACATTCAAAACATATAGCTATAATTCTAAGAGGACATAATTGCTGTGAAGTTACAGAGGAACTAGTAGTAACTTCGTCATTTTGCCTTACCAATATGATGCTGAAGGAAGAAGGCTTTGGTGTCCCAGGAGAGGAAATGGCCTTTATATGCCCATTGGTTGAAGTGGAGCCTGTTTATCCTAATCTACTGCTATTTCCTGTTTTACTGATTTTGGTAACTTCCATATCCCAGTGTTCCCAATGCTATAAACCTTCATGGAGATTAATGCTCTATGATGTTAGGGTAAGTCTACAAAAAAAATGATTCTCCTAATGGGGGAAGCAGAGGTATGGATCATCCCTTGTGACCTTTCTTTAATATATAAAATACATACTGCAAGTACCACTAGTTCTGAACCTTCCAGATTGTTGGTGGGTAGTAAAGGAAATTTCAGTTTGTCATCACCTACAGCGTTTGGACTGCTCAGGTTATTGACCTCCAAGCACTGTTTCTTGATGAATTGTCATGAGCAAAGATGAATTATTTATTACAAACTGCTGCCAGTACCGGTCCAGATGAATTTATAGGGCTATCTGGTCATAGACCTAGCCAGCTTGACCCAGTCTGTCTAAGGCTGTCTTAGACCATCTCAGAGAAAGAGTGAAAGAAGCAGATGCTACAGATGGGAAGGGAAGGAGCGTAGTTCCTATTCAGGTAAACTCAATAGGCATGCTGCTAGAAGTCTGGAATGGCAGCTCAGGTTGGAAGCAGTTTACTGATTTGGACATAGATTATTCCATTAATATTGGTAGGACACTTCTAAGTCTGATTATTCCCATGGTCTTATCTAAAATAGGGCTTCTGGGCATTAGAAAATTTATAGCTCACATTCTGCAGGTTTACTTACTGATCTGGCTCAAATCTACTCCTTTTTTCTCTCCCCCTCCTTCTCCCCTTTCCTTCTTCCTTCCTTCTTTACCTTTTTATTATGAAATTAAGCAAACATACACAAAAGTAGAGAAAATAATTTCATGAACTACCATGTTGCCATCATCCAATTTTAACAACATTTTGTTAATTTTGCTTTACTTATATATATATATAAACATATTATGTATATGTATATGCACAGTCACATGCCACATAATGACATTTCTGTTAACAATGGACCTCAATCATATACAATGGTGGTCCCATAAGATTATAATGGAGCTGAAAAATTCTTGTTGCCTAGTGATATCATAGTCCTCACAACATCATAGTGCAATGCATTACTCATGTGTTTGTGGTGATGCTGATATAAACAAACCTAGTATGCTGCCAATCTTCTAAAAGAATAACACATTCAATTATGTACAGTACACAATACGTAGTGATAAATGACTATTACTGGTTTATGTATTTACTATATTATACTTTTATCAATATTTTTACAACTATGCTTTCTACTTATAAAAAAGTTTGCTGTAAGACAGCATGCCATGTTGCACCAGCAGCAGCCTCATACATCCCATGTTTACTTTGTCTCATGATTGCATCATTTTTTCTTGCACTTGATTTGATCTCATGTTATTTTGTACAGTAACACTCTGTTCAGGGAACAATAGGCTGTACCACATATTCTAGATGTGCAGCAGGCTACACCATCTAGGTTTTTCTAAGTACACTTTATGATGTTCACACAAAGACAAAAATCACCTAATGACACATTTCTCAGTATGTATTCCTGTCATTAAGCCACACATGACTGTTTATATATGTGTTTACATGTATATATCTGTATAGTTTTTCCTAGAACATTTTATATGTCCCAGTCATGTCATTTCATCAGAACACTATTTATTATGCATTTCTAATAGATAATAGCTTCTTTCATAACCACATTGCCATTATACCTTGCAAAATTAATAGTTATTTCTCTTTTTTTAAGATTTTATTTATTTTATTTTTAGAGAGAGGTAAAGGGAGAGAAACATCAATGTGTGGTTGTTTCTCATGCACCCCCCACCAGGAACCTGCCCAGGCATGTACCCTGACTGGAAATCAAACCAGTGACCCTTTGGTTCGCAGGCCAGTGCTCGATCCACTCAGCTACACCAGCCAGAGCAATAGTTATTTCTTAATATCTATCACCCAGTTTATATTCTTATTTCCATGGTTGTTTCAAAATGTTCTTCTTTTAAAATTTAATCTTGTATTTTTTATATTACCTTTTAGTCCCCTTATACCCCACTCCCCCTAGCAATCAACACACTGCTGTCCATGTCTGAGTCTTTTTTCCTTTTTGCTCAATTCTTCCACCCTCTAACCTCCCCCTTGCCACTAGCTGTCATCCTGTTCTCCATCTGTGAGTCTGCCCCCATTTTCCTTTGCAGTGTCATTTACAATCCCCAAGATATGGAAGCAGCCCAGTGGACATCAGAAAATGTTCTTTTATCGTTGGCTAATTGAAAGAAAAGGATCCAGCCCTGGTTGGGTAGCTCAGTTGGTTAGAGTGTCGTCCTAATCCACCAATGTTGTGGCTTCAATCTCTGGTCAGGGCACATACAAGAAGTAACCAATGAATACATAAATGAGTGGAACAACAAATTGATATTTCTCTTTCTCCAAATCAATAGATAAAATTTTTAAAAAATAAGTTAAAAAAGGATCCAAATAATGTTTATACATTATAATGATTCTTATATATTTTAAGTCTTTTTGAATCTTTTTAAAAATCTCACTCTTTTTCTTATAATTTATTTTTTTGAATAAACTGAGACATTTGTTCTATAAGCATTTTCCACATTCTGGATTTGGTTGTTTTCTTATGGTATCCTTTAAATGATTTCTCTATTCTTCATATTTTCTATAAAACTGGTAGTTAGAGCTAAGGACTGGTTAGATTCTGGTTCAAATTTTTGGTAAGAATGCCTCATAAGTAATCTGTATATTTCCTATTACAATACCTCAGGAGGCTCAAATGGTCTGGTTAGTTGTTGGGTTCAGGTGTTGTTACCCTGCTTCCCCCATAATAAAATTTCCCATTAATCTTTCTCCTAATGGATTTTAAAATTCATTTATGTTTATTTCCTCTATCCCTTATTTCACTATACTTACAAAATAGTGATTGCCTTATTTACCTTTTGATTATAAAGAATTTCAAACATAGAGACAAAGATAATATGCTGCCCATTGCCCAGCTTCAATAATTATCAACACAAGGCTAATCTTGTTTCATTTATACTCCCACACATACTTGAGTACCCCCATATGAGGCTATTTTGAAACAGATGTCAAACATCATTCATATCATCCATAAACACTTCAGTAGTTATTTCTAAAAGATGAAGCCTTCTTTAAAATACAGTGGTATGATTATATCTCTGAAAAATTGTCATTCTTTAATCATAAAAGGGACAGTCTTTGTTCAAATTCTCCAATTATATCCTGTACTTTTTCACAGTTACATTATTCTGTTTTTAATTTCATCGTTGTTGTTGA